TTATCATGTAAATCCTCCAAACTATGCAGTTAATGCAATTGGTCTGCAATCCGAATAATTGTTTAAAAATCCGTATTATGTAATTTGTATATCTTACAAACTTTTTAAATCAGAGGTGCAATCTAGATTAATACAGACGTTAAAATTGAAATTAATTTTATTTATTGTTCGAAATGTCCTCTTGTGATAAATTGTGTCACGAAGGATGGCAATATCAACTTGGCATAGGCGTTGAAAAATACCTTGGGAAAGCCTTCGAATGCTACAAACAAGCCGTTGACCTTGGAGACGGTGAAGGGTTATTCCAGGTGGCCGAGTTTTACCACTTGGGGATTAATGTTGAAAAGAATAAGGAAAAAGCATTCGAGCATTTTTTAGAATCAGCTAGAACGGGTTTAAAATGGGAATTTTTAAGGCAAAATTATTAAATGAATATGGATGTAAAACAGATGAAGATGATTATTTATATATCCATAATTATTATTTACATAACGAAAGTAACTGAGATGATATACACAAAGAACTAGATACTTATGAATATAATCTAAAACAACTTGTGTTTAGTAAAAGTAAAAAATGTGAAATTGCAATGAATATTATAATGAAATAAATTTGGGTGATAATGTAAATTGAATCAAAATCGGACAAGTAATAACAAAGATATCGATGATTTTATAAAAGGGCTACAAATAAAATGTCTTCTTAGTGAAATGATTAATTGGATTCCATATAACAATTTATCGAACATCGAACAAATAGGTAAAGGTGGATTTGCAACTGTATATCGATCTAATTGGGTACGTATATGATAATAATGAATTATGGAAATTAGGGAAATCGTTCAACCTGTTGCACTTAAAACTGTTAAATTGCAAGAATTTGTGATGCATGTTAATTGTCGTTTAAATGATGCAACGCTTACTGTTCATGGATTAACACAAAGAATTTAGAATCTGATGAGAATATCATGGTGTTTAAGTACGCTGAAAATGGAGACCTAACAAATTATTTGAAAATGAATTGGCAGAAACTAGATTGGGATACTAAATTACATTGCCTAAGTGATATTTCATATAATTTAAATGAAATTCATGGTATGGGATTAATTCACGCGGTCATCATAATGGAAATAATTTGAATTATGATGATTTGAGCGAAACTTCTGATCTTGGACAAACAAAGCAAATAGAAGAAAATAAAGGCGAAATAGTTGGAGTGTTGCCGTACGTTGATCCTGCACTTTTAAAAGGCGGTAAATTGACAGAAATGTCAGATGTATACGGGTTTGGGATGATAATGTGGGTGATGGGACATGGACGGATGCTACACGATGGACAAAATTTTAATAAAGATCTAGCAAAAGAAATATGTCTATGTTTGAGACCTAAATTTGACGACCATCTACCCAAAATGCATTAAATTGGCCATGCGGTGTTTAGATGATGATCCAAAAACCGACCAGATGCTTATGATATACATGAAGAAATTAATAATTGGATCCATGAGAATGAATTTAAGAATCAGTTCGAGGAAGCCGATAAATTCAGACCATTACCTACAGTGCAAATCCATCCACAGTCCATGTATACTAGTAAACTAATCAATACGCGAGAAATAAGTAAACGATTAATGGAAATAATGGAAATTAAAGGTAGCAAACAGATTGATATCGATATTTAAAATAAGGCCACACAAAGTTGATTTTTCATTTTACATTATATGGATTTCAAAATTCCCGGTTGGTCGGTCGGATTTTTCTTTCTTTTTAATCTACAGTAAATTAATAGAACATTTTCACGCTTAAGGCCACGCAAAATTAATTTTCGCTTTGCATAAAATGGAATCAGAAAATTCTATCGGATAATTTCAGGAAAATAAGGCCTCTATTAGTGATACCGGATTAATTTATGGAAAAATTAAATGGCAAAATAGAATAATTGGCTGGACTTATAGCTATTATCATAATTCCTGAAACACCTGTTAAAAATTACCCGAATGATTGTTTTACCGATTCGGTTAAGTTAGTGA